GGTGAGAGACCACCCCCTACGCACCCCCCCTGGTGTCGAGAAAGTGCACGCCTGTCACGCTCTCCGACCCTGGCACGCATAGATGCCGCGGTGAGAGACCACCCCTGCTGCACCCCCCCTGGTGTCGAGAAAGGCTACGCCTGCCACGCTCTCCGACCCTGGCACGCATAGACGCCGCGGTGAGAGACCACCCCCTGCGCACCCCCCCTGGTGTCGAGAAAGTGCCACGCCTGCCACGCTCTCCGACCCTGGCACGCATAGACGCCGCGGTGAGAGACCACCCCCTGCGCACCCTCTCTGGTGTCGAGAAAGTGCCACGCCTGCCACGCTCTCCGACCCTGGCACGCATAGGGGCCGCGGTGAGAGACCACCCCCTACGCACCCCCTCTGGTGTCGAGAAAGTGCCACGCCTGCCACGCTCTCCGACCCTGGCACGCATAGACGCCGCGGTGAGAGACCACCCCCTGCGCACCCTCTCTGGTGTCGAGAAAGTGCCACGCCTGCCACGCTCTCCGACCCTGGCACGATAGACGCCGCGGTGAGAGACCACCCCTGCGCACCCCCCTGTGGTGTCGAGAAAAGTGAACACGCCTGCCAACGCCTCTCCGACCCTGGCACGCATAGACGCCGCGGTGAGAGACCACCCGTTGCGCACCCCCCCTGGTGTCGAGAAGTGCCACGCCTGCCACGCTCTCCGACCCTGGCACGCATAGGGGCCGCGGTGAGAGACCACCCCCTGCGCACCCCCCTCTGCTGTCGAGAAAGTGCCGCGCCCGCCACGCTCTCCGACCCTGGCACGCATAGACGCCGCGGTGAGAGACCACCCCTGCGCACCCTCTCTGGTGTCGAGAAAATGCCGCGCCCGCCACGCTCTTCGACCCTGGCACGCATAGACGCCGCGGTGATAGACCACCCCCTGCGCACCCACCCCTGTTGTCGAGAAATGCCACGCCTGCCACGCTCTTCGACCTTGGCACGCAGAGACGCCGCGAGTGAGAGGAAAATCACACCTGCGCACCCCTCTCTGGTTGTCGAGAAAGTGGACACGCCTGCCCACGCTTCTCGACCCTGGCACGCCAATAGAGGCCGCGGTGAGGACCACCCCTGCGCACCCTCTCTGGTTGTCGAGAAATTGCCACACGCCTGCCACGCTCTTCGACCCTGGCAGCCATAGACCGGCCGCGTGTGAGAGACCCCCCCCCTGGCACCCCCTCTGCGTTGATTCGAGAAAGTGCCCACGGCTGCCACGCTCCTCGACCCTGGCACGCTATAGACGCCCGCGGTGAGAAACCACCCCCGCGCAACCCCTTCTCTGGTGTCGAGACTTGGCAGTGGCCAAGCCTGCCACGCTCTTCCGACACTGGCGCGCATAGGGGCCCGGTGAGAGACCACCCCCTGAGCACCCCCCCTGGTGTCGAGAAAGTGCCACGCCTGCCACGCTCTCCGACCCTGGCACGCATAGACGCCGCGGTGAGACACCACCCCCTGCGCACCCTCTCTGGTGTCGAGAAAGTGCCACGCCTGCCACGCTCTCCGACCCTGGCGCGCATAGGGGCCGCGGTGAGAGACCACCCCCTACGCACCCCCCCTGCTGTCGAGAACGTGCCACGCCTGCCACGCTCTCCGACCCTGGCACGCATAGACGCCGCGGTGAGAGACCAAGCTGTGCTGAGCAATGCTGTGAGGAGGAGGGGAGGTGTGAGGTGAGACGCGGGTGCGACGCGGCAGGGAAGAACACCATAACCCCATGAAGCATGTGAGGAATACCAATACTAGTAATAATAACAGTCATAATACTACCAACAATCATACTAATCGTAAGAAAACTAATAAGCATACATGAGAATAAGAAGATGCACTACCATACCACTACTAATATTCATACTAAACCGAATGCAATATCATCACCATATTAAGACTAGTAAGAGTAATTCAAGCAACACAAAAGGGGGAGCTGTAGTTTTTCCCAGTGGGCATCCTCGCTGCCTGCTGCGAGCACAAAGCCGACGCTGGAAAAAAAACGGGTGTGCGTTATTCACACAGTCTCTTATTCGAAGGGCTGGACGTCCACTGTGACGCCTTTTTAGCCTCCGATGGAGCCCACGCTGAACGATGCGAGAACGGACAATACGGATGAGGACGAGGAGAGGACGGATCAAGGGTGGACCTCCTTCTCCCGCCCGCTCTCGCCACGGTCAACAATTGCGCTGCCGTTGTCTCGTCGTCCTGCTGCGCTTTTGCGATGCTCCCTGTAAATAATGAAAATGATGAGGACGACTGAGATGAAGAATACCCCCCCCCCGGGGAACCGCCCCAGAACGCCCTCAGACAACCTACAAGCCCTTCCCCCCTCCGACCTTCTTCCTCCTCCTTCTCCTCCTCCTCCTCCTCCTCCTCCTACCCCTCCCTTCCTCTTTCCAGAGGAATGCCTCCTCCTCCCCCTCCGCCGCCTTTCAGACGCTGAACTAAGGACCGCTTTGCGCTCAGGAGGGGCTCGGGTTTTCGGGCCGTTCCTTCGATTTCTGTAGTGGAACCTGTTGGTGGCCTAGGGCCCCACGTAGCCAGAAAGCCCCCCTCGTTCCCTATGGTACGTTCCTTATGGCAGCACGATGGCAGTATTCTTTCTCCTCAATTCCTTCCTCCTGCGGGGGAAGGCGTCTTCCCTGCCTTTCTTCCTCTTTCCTCCTCTCCCTCCTGCGTCCTCCACCCGTCACTCCCCCCATTCAGGAGGGAAGCGGAGGAAGAAGGAACACGAGGGGGACCTGGGTGATGGAGGTGGAGGGCGACGAAGATAAGTGCACGGAGGAGGAGGAGGAGGAAGGAACAGAGGAGGAGGAGGAGGAGGAGGAGGAGGAGGAGGAGGAGGAGGAGGAGGAGGAGGAGAGGGGGAGGAGGAGGAGGAGGAGGAGGAGGAGGAGGAGGAGGAGGAGGAGGAGGAAGAGGAGGAGGAGGAGGAGGAGGATGGGTGAGGACGTGGATGAAGAAGAGAAGGAGGGCTAAGCGAATCTGGAGGATGAGGAGAAGGATGAGGTCTCGGAGGATGGGGAGCAAGATGTTGTGGATGACGATGATGCTGCTGCTGCTGATTAGGATGATGCGGATGTTGCTGCTGATGCTGATGAGGATGATGATGCTGATGACGATGCTGCTGCTGATGATGATGGTGATAATGGTGATGACGATGGCGACAGCGGCGACGATTGGGACGACGACGATGGCGATGCTGATGATGATGCTGAAACTGATGCTGATGCTGATGACGACGACACTGATGACGATGATGATGACGATGATGCTGATTACTCTGATGATGGTACTGTTGATGATGACGATGCTGCTGCTTCTGATGATGATGCTGATGATGATGAAGCTGATTGTGATGAAGATTGTGATGATGATGTTGATGATGACGATGTTGATGCTGCAGCTGCTGATGCTGATGATGATGCTGCTGATGATGATGATGGTGGTGGTGGTGGTGATGCTGATGAGGACAAGGATGAGGATGAGGGTGAACATGAGGAGGAGGAGGCGGAGGAGGAGGAGGAGGAGGCATTGGAGGCATTGGATGCATTGGAGGAGGAGGAGGAGGTGGAGGAGGAGGAGGAGGCACTGGAGAAGGAGGAGGAGACGGAGCAGGGCCTGGAGATGCGGACGCAACAGCTGTACAGATCACGGCCGTACAACGAAAACGGGCCTGGAGAAGGGATGAGCCCCTCAGCCCAGGCCCAAGCGAGGCCCGCAGGCGAGAGTGGGCGCTCATCGGCGCTCGTGGCCGGCGCCGCGCTGACGCTCGCTGGTGCCTCGGGCGGTGGGCGCGCGAGGAGGGGCGGGGTGGCGGTTGCGGCTGGCGGCAAGCAGAATGAACAGGAGGAGGGGGATGACGAGGAGGACAACGAGGAGGAACAGGAGGAGGAGGAGGAGGAGGACGAGGAGGAGGGTTATGACGAGGATGGCCAGAGTAGGTCCAAGGTGTATCAGCGATGCTACAGTACACCCTCTCCTCCTCAGAAGTCTCCGCAGGCATTGCATTCCATTGTGGGGAGCGCTCTCCTCGATAGACGATACCCCAATTCTGCCATGCAGGCGATACTTCGTTGGGTCAAAGATCTACCTACCATCCTCTAGAAGTAGTGCAAGAGAAGGCACGGTCAAACAAATCGTGGAGGTGCACAACAAGAACTCAATTCCGAAAAGGATCAGACCTCCATCCGTGTAAACATTGTACAACTTTACAACTCTTGACGCAAAGAAAGGTAGGAAGTCGCGGGCGGGAAACCACCGATACAAACTCGCCCACCATCCTTGTTTTACACACGTCTCAATTCGGGATCTTAGATTGTGTCCCCCAAAGGCACCCCATTCTTTACAATAGCCGCAACCCGTCAGTGTATGTAGCTGAGGATGCTTGAGTCTCTTAAGAGCGTGCGCGGCGCAACCGAGAGCCCTGCCTATTTTGAACACGAGCCGTCTTCTACCCGTGTAACTCCTGGATGTTTTAAGACGGTCGCCGGCGGCGTCAAGGCGAGAACCACATTTTGAAAACCACCTGTGCTCAATCCGTGTACCTGTAGGAAATATGCAAGACGAGTGCGCGCGGCGCCAAGGCGACAGCTCCATTTGAAAACCAGTGTGTCAGTTGAAGCTGTCGAACATCGGGGCCATGCTCGGGGAGAAGGTCTCAAGCGAAACGCCCAGCCCGACCTACCGACGCGTCCGATGGTCAGACGAGGACGAGTTATCCATGAAGGAGCAGGCGTGGAGGAGCAGGAGGAGGAGGAGGAGGAGGAGGAGGAGGAGGAGGAGAAAGAGGGCTAGGAGGAGGTAGGAGGAGGAGAGGAGGGAGGAGGAGGAGGAGGAGGAGGGAGGAGGGAGGAGGAGGAGGGAGGGAGGATGAGAAAAGAGGGCTAGGAGGAGGAGGAGGAGGAGGAGGAGGAGGAGGAGGAGGAGGAGGAGGAGGAGGATTTTGATGATGAGAACCATGACGATGGTGATGGTGATGCCAGGGGAGGAGTCCGCGGCAAAAGCGGCGCTCATCGGCGCTTGTGGCTGGCGCCGTGCCGCGACGCTCGCCGGCTGTGGTCACGGCGGGCGGCGAGCAGGCGAGCAGGCGGTCACGGGCGATGAACATGTCCATCGCCGTGCTCTCGCGGCGTGGACACCGAGGCGCGATCCCATGGATGCGCGATCCCCTGGGTGCGCTCCGCGAGGGGTATCCGCGGGAGGCTACGAGCGATGAACATGTCCACAGCCGTGGCCTCGCGGTCTGGACGACGGGGCGCGATCCCATGGATACGCGGCCCCATGGGCACGTCCCGTGAGGGGCATCCGCGCCGCGCCGCCCTGTACCCGCGGGGCCGCGCCGAGGGGTCTGGGCCGCGAGGCGCAGGACATGCTTCCGCCTGCAGGAGCAGCGCGCCCGGGAAGAGGACTCGCCCCCCGAGCCTCAGACCTGCCGAGGGCCCTCTGGAGGGCTCCCAGGGCGGAGGGCGCCGCTCGCGGCCGCCGCCGAACCCGCGGGCGGCCTCGACGCTGCCGCCGCTAGTCGCCACTGCTGGCGTGGAGCTCGGCCCTCAGCAGCGCGGCGACGTTCTCGGAGCTGTCGCCCCGGGCCGGAGGAGGGCGCCTGGCCGGGAGCTCCTCGCCCGCGGCCAGCACCTCCAGCCGCTGCAGCTCTCGCCGCAGGGCCGCGATCTGCGCGAGCAGCGGCCGCTGCGCCGCGGCGCCAGAGAGCGGCGGCAGCGCGAGGGCCGCGGGCTCGCCCGCAGGCGCGACAGCGTCGGCGTCGTCGGGCGGCGCGGGCCACTCCTCCGCGCGGGCCGGGGGCGGCCTCATCGTCGCTGCCTCCGCAGCGCCGAGCAGCCGCCTGTGGATGTCCTCCACCTGGCTGGCCATTCGGTGCTGCCACGCGGCGTCGGCGGCGCGCTGCCCCTGGTCCAGGGCGGAGAGGCACGAGGACGCGCAGCTGCTTCCGAGCGCGTGCGGCAGCAGCCACGGGATCGACGTGGAGCCGCCCAGCAGGACGCGAGCCTTCGGTTGGTGGTCGGGGCTCTGCATGCTGGGCACTGCGTCCGGGCTCGCCGACGTGCGGTGGTGCACCATCGAGCCTCCTCCCGTGCCCTGGTGCTGCAACATCGGGCCGCCGGCGGGTACCCGGCCGCCCTTCCGGCTGGCCAGGTCATGGACAGGTCTTCCGTGCTCGGCCAGCACTGCCAGAAAGAGGCCCGCGTTCTGCCTATCGACGTAGGGCGGCATGGCCATGAGCGCTGCGAAAGTGGGCACCAGCCCTGGCAGCATGCTGCCCAACAAGAGGAACACGATGCCGAAGACGCAGCAAACTACGACGACCCGGTCGGGACGCGACTTCCAGTCGGCCGGGTCGCCGAGCGTCCGGGCGCAGGCGTATGCGCACACGAACAGGATCACCTGCAGGAGGCGCAGGGTGTAGACCTCGGTGGGGAACTTCTCGTGGAGGCCCTCCGAGGGGGCAACGCTGTAGGGAGGGCCCAGCTCGGGGGGGGGGCAACCATCCACCTGGACTCGGCGATGCATCGCCGCTGCAGATCGGCGACAGGCCCCCCCCCCGACAGCGACTCCGCACGCTCCCGGGCGGCGTGGGCCACCTGGCCACTGCCGGCGGTGAGCAGGGGCGATGCGGGGTCGAGGCGCCCCCCCCCCCCCGCGCGCCTGCCGCCCCCCTGACGCTGCCCCGGACCCTCTGCCTCGTCGCCTGGGCTCGCGGCACGCGGGCTTGCGGAGGAGGCGGACGCCAGATCCTCGGGCCAGCACTCCCTGGCGGGCGAGGTCGGCGCCGCGGAGTCCTCCAGAAGAGGGAAAGAGCGCCACGAACACAAGCTTTGGCGCTGCGCGCAGGTTTCTTGGATCTGCGCTGGACCCCTTTCCCTGGCGCGCGGAGCGCGCCAGGGGCGGCGCCGGAGGCGCCGCCAGGGGGGGGCCCAGCGCGGATCCAAGACATCCGCGCGGAGCGCCACAAGTTTATGCCTATAGCGTGTTTCTCCTTTGAGCTCCAGGGCGGGCGAGGTCGGCTCCGCGGAGTCCTCGTGCATAGCCTGCGCCGCCCCGTCGTCCGCCGTGCCCTGGGCGCCGCTGCGCTCCGCGATGCCATCCGCAGCGCTCCTCGCCCGGAGCGCCCAGGAGCCTCGAGCGGCCTCGTCGGCCAGGTTCCTGCGGGAGAGGCTCATCGCCAGCCGCCCCGAGGCGTCGACTCGGACCTGGAACGAGCGCACCAGGAGCCAGAGGGCCCCCAGAACCAGGAAGGCAGCCACGATGAACATGGGCACCACGTCCAGCAGGACGACGCTCGCGAGCCGGTGCAGGGCGGCAAACGTCAGCAGGACGAGGATGACGGCAAACCAGGTGAAGGAGTGGATCTCCACCGTGTCCGTGGTGCAGGAGCAGACCGAGTAGGCAAGGTAGGCGCTGAAGGCGAAGTTGTCTTCCAGGGCCTCGTGCAGCCTGCCCACGGGCACCCTCGGCAGCGAGTCGAGAGCGAGGGCCCGCAGCACCTCCGTGTGCAAAGACGGGCGCTTCCGCCTCCACGTCAGCACGTCCGTGATGAAGTACGTCCGCCACCGGCCATACTTTTTGACCGCGGTGTTCTCAAAACCCCGGAGCCTGCTCTCGTTGCGCATCGCCAGCGTGGACCTGGCGGCGCCGGCCACGCGGAGTATGCGCATCTCTTCCCAGGCACGGATGGTCTTCACGCTGCCACTCACAATCTGGGAGACAAGCATGAAATAGATCAGCATGCCAAGGAACAGTTTCATGTGTACTAACTCCACCATGTGCAGCCAGTCGGCGGAGGTCGGAGGCACGTGAATTGCGGAGGCCTCCGAAGGGAATGCGGTGATAAGTGCATCGAATAATCCAGCCTCTCGGGAGATGAATATGAGGAAAGCGATGTAGCCCAGCACCATGATCTCCGCACACAAGCGCGAGAACCAATGCTTCCAGAGGGGTGTAGTGTACTCCACGTGGAGGTGACGGGAGCTGCCGGGAACATGGCCTGCGCCTGCCGATGTGTGGATGCCGTTGAAGTGTCTGCGCCCCGTCCCCGTCTGCAGCTGCCCGTAGTGGTAGCTCGTGCTCACGCGCTCCTTGAAGAAGTGGTGCACGGCTTCGAAGAGCAGGGCCATGCAGACCAGCACGATAAGGATGCAGGTTTCCACGAAGGAGTACTCATGAAGGTGGCACTCCTCGCTGCCGTCGCTCCCTTCGTCGCACCACCATTTCGCCTGAGGGGCTGAGGGGGGGCGACGGGGGAGTGCTGGCCCAGGGGGGGGGGGGAAGCATCGACCTCGAGTCGGCGATACATCTCACGAGCGGCCAGCGTATCCATATCCGCGCCTTCGCGGTCTGGACTCCGGGGTGCGATCCCGCGGATACGACGCAGCCGCACGGATAGGTTCCACGCGGGGCATCCGCGGGGTCGCGGCCCGGGGGGCCGCAGATGCGGATACGCTTTCGCTCACGAACATCGCCGATGGGCCCCCAGGTGCGGCACTCTGCGCTCCTCCTGGGCAGAGTGGGCAGAGTGCGTCACACGAGCCCCGATCGGCGATGGAGTGTGCGATTCGGAGGTCGACGTCCCCCGAAGCCAATGTACAGTGGCAGTCCCGAGGAAATTGCAGAGGAGGTCAGAGCAGGCACGCCTTTTCGTCCGGCAGAGCGCTGGCTCACCCACGCGGTCACGTTTTCATGCCAAGCGCTGCTGCAGTGACAGGCGCACCAGTGCGATGAAGCATGCAGGAGCAGCGGCGGGAGAGAACGGTAGGGAGAGAGGAACAGTCACGCTGCGCGTTCGCGCCCACTCGTTGCTGCTTCCCCGCTCTCGGCCACGCGCCAAGAGAGTGATCCCAGGCAAGCGCGAACTTTGGAATGCGGCCCGCCGATCGTGGCATGTGGTGCGACAGTGGCACCTTGCGCACCTGCCCCCCCCCACTCCGCGTGCCCCCCCGAACGACACGCACCAGAGGCCACTCTAGCAGAGGTCCCAGCTCGGGCCCCCAGCGACCCCTCCGGATGCTCTGGGCACCCCTGGGGAGCGCCCTCGGAGAGGCGCCGCTGCTGGAACGCACCCCGAGGCTGGCAGACCGCCGAGGACCGACGAGAGCGTCCGCAAACCTCGAGCCTTGCTCCGCCGAGGGGCCACCCTTGCGTGTAGCCGACTCCCGCCCTTCGGGTCGGGCGAAAGGGGGGGATAGCAAAGGGGGGGTTTGAGAATCAGCTCACGTGGCTGATTTTCCCGGCGCCTCCCGGCGCCAGAGGCGCCCATGTATCGAGGAATGGGCCCCTCGGTGAAGCCGAAACCAGCTGCATGCAGCAAATTCCGTAACCCCCCCTTTCCCAATCCCCCCCTTTCGCCCGGCCCGAGCCCTCCCCCCCTCGGCCGCCTCCTCGCCGCCTGCTCCGGCGGCGGGTGCGAGCGTGCAGGCGGCCACGGCCAGCAGCAGCACAGCCTCCGGCCGGGCCCACCGCATGTGCCCGCCCGGCCAGGGCGCGCGCGCGGTGGCTCGAGCCCCGGCGCGTCTTTGGCCCGCCCGTCAGCCTCGGCCAGAACGCCTGCGGTGGGGAGGAGGAGGAGGAGGAGGAGGAGGAGGAGGAGGAGGAGGAGGAGGAGGAGGAGGAGGAGGAAGGAGGAGGAGGGAGAGGAGGAGGAGGAGGAGGAGGAGGAGGGAGGAGGAGGATAGGAGTTGGAGGAGGAGGAGGAGGAGGAGAAGAAAGAAGAAGAGGAGGATGGAGGCGGAGGCAGGAGGAGGAGGGAAAGGAGGAGCCTGAGGAGGATGAGGAGGAGGAAGCAGGAGGAGGAGGAGGAGGAGGAGGGACGAGGAGGGGAGGAGGAGGAGGAGGACCGGAGTGAGGGAGGAGGATGAGGAGGAGAAGGATGAGGAGGAGGAGGAGGAGGAGGAAGGGGGGAGGGGAGGAGGACGAGGCAGAGGCGGTGCAGGATGCGGCGGCTGCGGAGGATGACGTGAAGAAGCAGGAAGGGGTCGGAGATGATGATGATGATGATGATGATGATGATGATGATGATGATGATGATGATGATGATGATGATGATGATGATGATGGTGATGATGATGATGATGATGATGATGATGATGAGGTGGAGAAACTCGTGTAGACGGAGGAAGGAGGGATGATATGATAGAGGAGGTTAGCAGTGGTACTGATTCAATTTATGATGGGCACGAGAGGACAAATGAGTAAGAGCAAGATGAGGAGGAGCAGGAGGAGGAGGAGGAGGAGCAGGAGGAGGAGGAGGAGGAGGTAATTTGATGGGAGACGGGGGGAGAAAGTGGGAGGATGATCACCTAGAGCCGCCTCGAACTCGTCGAGGTACATCCGCTCCATCCTCGAACTCCTCCTCCTCCTTTCTCTCCTCATTTCCTTCCTTCTCCCTCCCGCATCCCCATCCTGCTCCATGTTTGCCTTCTCTCCTCCTCCTGCCTTGGAGGGGAGACTTGATTGGGAGAGGAGGATGAGGAGTGAGAATGAGAAAAGAGCGGGAAGAGAAACCACAGAGCTCCCTCGACCTTCTGACCCGAATCAACATCCGCCACAGGGCCGTAGGCACCGACTGGAGTGCCCTCAGGGCCCTTAGGGTTCTCTGCGTTGTGTACTGTCACCCAGCGCAAATTTGCAGAAGGAGGATACACATTGAGGGGAAAGATCGCGAACCATCCAAATACGGCCTCCTTGTCCTCAACGTGGGTGTCCAGGCTACTGGGCGGAAACACCAACAACACCGAAGTGATCTGCGACGGCACCAACGCGGATTCGTACTGTGTAATCGTCCGTTCCAATCGAGCATTGGCAGCCTCAAGGGAGGAGGAGGTGAAGACGAGGCGGAGGAGACAAGCTGACAGCACGCAGCAGCGCTCAAGCCAACCTGCCGTAGGTGAGCTGTTGCGCGTACTCGCGGCGTCGGAGGACGGGAGAAGTGCAGATGCACACACCCCCCAGGTGGCCCAAATGGCCACGCCGAACCCGCAACGGAAGGACAGAGGAGGCATGAGGGGGGGCGGGGACAAGGAAGGTGACCAGGAGGGGAGATGGGCAAGATCACGAGTGCGGCTGGGGCGCGGAGAAATAAATCGCCCCGCTCTGGGTTGAAAATGTCTGCGCACGGAGGGCAACGTAGAATTGGATCAGGAACCTGAACGTGATATGGTGCTCTGCGTTCTGTATTAATTGCTCCTTAAGGGACCCATGCCCCTGAGTCCTGGTCGCTACCAGCCGCTCTCGGGGCGGCTCACGAGACCGTTTCAGAGACCTCG